CACTCTAGGGCCACCTACTGGCCATCTTCGGGAGTTATATTGATATTACATTGCATAATCATCTTTAACGCTATACTGGCATATAACAGACAGAAGTAGGATTGTTTATCCTATTTTAATATATTTATTGCTATAAGGTTTTATTTTATGTATAAATATATTAAAAGTTAAGTTTTATTATTAGGCCCATAAAGATTATTTTGATACAATTACCCTCTGGTGACACCTACTGGTAGATTTTTGGTTTAACACTTTAAAAAAAAAAATTTCATCCACCAAATGCTGACTAGTAAAATTAGCTCACCCCCTTCCACCTATCTTACTACTCTCAGACTGGAACCTATTACTGAGCAACCTTGCCAAAGCCCTGTATTAACCCAACAGATGACTGGTACCCTCCAACCCCGACATTACCAAAATGCCTCTTCGACTTACATCGGGCCCAACACATGTTGACAATAATGGTCAATTGCAACATGCAGACCCTGTATTTGTTTATGTTCCTTCTACTACGACTGACTTATTTAATCGGAAGACACATAATTCTTCATATACTGATAAGCCTCAAGTCATGACAGATTTGGTTACCTCTATTATACAAACCCACAATCCCACCTGGGCTGATTGTCAGCAATTATTACTGACCTTTGGAACGTAAATGGCACTGACATGCCCCACCTAAGGGCTTATCGGGAAGCCATAATTGCTGGCATGAAGGAAGGAGGGAAGAAGGCAATTAATACGTCAAAGACGGCTGAGGTGTTGGAAAAGGTTGATGAGTCACCTAGTACCTTTTCTGAGAGATTATTGGAGTTGTATAGGTTGTGTACTCCTTTTAATCCAGAGGCTCCTGAGAATTCTAGGATGATTAATTCAGCATTTGTCAGCCAGGCCCAAGGTGATATTAAAAGGAAATTACAGAAATTAGAGGGATTTGCAGGGATATCCATATCACAGCTAATGGAGGTTGCAAATAAGGTGTATATGAATAGGGAAACTGAAACAAAGCGTGAGGAGGAACGTAAAATGAGGAAGAAGGCAGATATGCTAGCGGTAGCTATCACAGGTGTAGAAAGACAGGGAAGGGAAGTGAATAAAGGAGTCGAGAATACCTTTTAAGTAGGAATCAATGTGCGTATTGTAGAAAGGAGGGACATTGGAAGAGAGTGTCCACAGAGAAAGCAGTATGAAGGTGATGGACAAGGAGAGAGAAGGGTACTAGGAGGTTATAGTGGTAGTTATAGAGGAAGAGGAAGTTTTAGAGGGAATGGTGGGAATAGTAGAGTAAGTGTTCAAGGAGAAAGATACTATCCACCCACGCAGAGACCTAGAGAAAGAGAGGATAGAGATTTTGTGGGTCTGGCTGACACGATCATGGAAGACTATTGATACCAACCGAGCTCCATCCCCCTTGGGGTGAAGCACCAATGCCATTTGGTGAAGCACCAATTTCTATATATGCCTGAGTGTCCAATCTAACTTCTAGGACGAGATTTGTTATCAAAGCTTCAAGCTCAGATAACCTTTTTACTTAATGGATCAACATCTCTGAAGTTTAAGGGATCATCGGGCATAATGGCGATATCGGTGCCAAGGGAAGAAGAATGGCGCTTCTATTCCATAGTGACAAGTGTTAACCCTAAGAGTGATGAATTCTTATTTGACATTCCAGGAGTATGGGCAGAGAATAATCCACCAGGACTTGCTCGTAATATCCCACCCATACATATTGAACTAAAGCTTGGGGCCTATCCTGTGAGCCTACGTCAATATCACATACCCCAAAAGGCTAAGGAAAACATACAAACCTACTTGGATAAGTTCGTAAGGTAGGGCATCCTAAAATTCTGTACTTCCTCCTGGAACACTCCATTATTACCTGTTCAAAAACCAGGATCGGACAAATATCGTCCTGTACAGGATTTGAGAGCAGTTAATGATGCGGTAGTTAATATACACCCAGTTGTACCCAATCCTTACAATTTGCTTGCCTTGATACCAGGTGGGGCAACCTAGTTCAGTGTTAGATCTTAAGGATGCTTTCTTTTGTCTTCGAATTGCTGCTGAGAGTCAACATATCTTTGCTTTCCAATGGGAAGATGCTGTTACAGGTTCAAAGCGTCAGATGACCTGGACTAGACTACTTCAAGGATTCAAGAATTCACCTACCCTATTTGGATCCGCATTAAGCCAGGATTTGCAAGATTTCAAGTCCATCCCAGGAGAATGTGTACTACTTCAATATGTGGATGATTTATTGATAGCAGCTGTTACTAAAGAGATATGCCAACAAGCCACTTATGATTTGCTTCATATTCTATGGAGAGCAGGATACAAGGTATCGAGGAATAAAGCACAATTGTGCCAGCCAAGTGTTAAACATTTAGGATTCCATATATCCGAAGGTCAAAGAATGATGGGACCTGAAAGAAAAGAAGCATTGTGTCGGATACCGATACCTAAGAATAGAAGACAGGTGCGAGAATTCTTAGGAGCAGCAGGATTCTGCAGGATATGGATTCCTAATTACACGATATTGGCGAAACCCTTATATGGAGCTATAAAAGGCACAGAACATGACCCCTTCCTATGGACTACTGAACAGCAGAAGGCGTTTGAGGATATCAAGAAAGCACTAATGAGTGCCCCAGCCCTAGGTCTACCTGATCATACACGTCCTTTCTATCTGTACGTACATGAGCAAAGACGAATGGCTGTGGGAGTATTAACTCAATATTTGGGATCATGGCAAAGACCTGTAGCTTACATGTCCAAACAGTTGGATGCAGTGGCCAGTGGTCTTCCACCTTGTCTGCGAGCAGTGGCCGCTGCTGTCCTATTGGTAGCAGAAGCTGACAAGCCTTCACTGGGACAGGAACTCCACGTGCGAGTACCTCATGCAGTACAGACCCTCTTGGATTATAAGGGAAATCATTGGTTTAGCAACAGTCGAATGACCAAATATCAGGCTATGTTGTGTGAAAATCCAAGAGTACACTTCGAAACTGTCAACAATTTGAATCCAGCTACCCTTTTGCCTCAGACTACTGAAAGTCAACATGATTGTTTGGAGATAATGGATGAAGTGTTTTCAAGCAGGCCTGATCTTCATGATTTTCCCATCCAGAATCCAGACATACAGTATTATATTGATGGTAGTAGTTATGTGAAGGAAGGTGTACGTTATGCAGGATATGCGGTAACGACTATAGATAAGGTGATAGAAGCATGGCCACTGTCAAAAGGGACATCAGCACAGAAGGCGGAACTGATTGCATTAACCAGGGCTTTGCAATTAGCTGAATCTGGGCAAGAGGAATATGTGGGATATGTTGCAGCCCTTGTACCAGCACCTCTGTCTAATTGGACTCCAATATATACAACCCAAGAGATGGAGTGGTTGAAGACTGAAGCTGGGAAATATCTGGAGAATAACTGGTATCAGTTAGAAGATGGAAGAATAGTTATTCTGACATCTCTGGCTATAGAGATTGTTTAAAACTTTCATAGTGGTACATATACTGGAAGAGATAGTATGGAAGAATCTCTTAGGAAACATTTCTACATACCAAGGTTATCTAGTCTGACTCAAGCCATAGTTCGGAGATGTGTTTTGTGTGCCCAAAATAATGCAAGACAAGGCCCTGTCAAACCCCCTGGAGTTCAGTATATGGGAGGACTCCCAATGTCAGATTTGCAAATAGATTACACTGTGATGCCTAAATCTGGGGAATATCGTTATTTGTTGGTAGCTGTGTGCACCTACTCAGGCTGGGTAGAAGCTTGTCCAACTCGTACAGAAAAGACCGGGGAAGTTGTACGATTTCTGTTGCGAGAAGTTATACCCAGATATGGACTTCCGTGTTCTATAGGATCAGATAATGGCCCAGCCTTTATTCATCAGTGTTTGCAACAACTAACTCATGTGCTTGGTATCAAGTGGAAACTTCATACAGCCTATAGACCTCAGAGTTCTGGAAAGGTGGAAAGTAAGAACAGAACAATAAAAACCCAGTTGGCTAAAATGTGTCAGGAAACTCAGCTCAAGTGGAATGTCCTTTTGCCAATAGCTCTGTTGCGAATACCTAGTAAGCCTACCAGAAGGATGGGTTTGTCTCCCTTTGAAATGATGTATGGGCGTCCACCTCCCATACTAAGTAATCTAAGGGGGGGGACTTAAATCAGTTGGGTGAAGGAATTACTCGGCAGCAGGTTGTAGAGTTGGGTAAAACTATGGAGGAGGTGCAGAAATGGGTGCAAGATAGGTTACCTGTGAACATATATCCACCTATTCATTCCTATCAACCAGGAGATCAAGTGTGGATAAAATAATGGAATATTGTTCCATTAGGTGCAAAGTGGAGGGGTCCTTATGTTGTTCTTTTATCTACCCCAACAACTGTAAAGGTGGCAGAGGTGACTCCGTGGATTCATCATTCTAGGGTTAAACCAGCATCAGACTCTTGGCAAGCTATCCCAGATCCTGAGAATCCTTGCAAGATCCGGTTGAAGCGTGCAACTCAGTCAGAGTGACGAGGAGATATTGGGACATCTAGAGTAACTATGGAGATCAGCAAAGTAGGTGTTTTGACGGCCATAATAAAGCCTGAACACCTGCCTATGTGTCATAGCCAGAGTGTCTCGAAGGGATCTCTGTGAAGGAAAGTGAGGATCAGAAGAACCCTCACAATCGGGAAGCTGAGGGGCCATCGCATGGTCGAAGAAAAATGAGGATTTCAGGAATAATGTGTTTTATTGTGTCTTAGTATTTTTATGATTTTTCAGGAAGGTAGGAGTACAGACATACCAAATTGCGATAGTTGCATTAAGACTACTAAAACAGGTAACCAAATATCCCAAAATCTCATCTGGCACTCACAGTATGAATGTAAGGGATCTGTATCTAAATGTAGATATTTGGATATTGATTATAGTGTGTGCAAGCCAATATCAGGAGAGTCTAAATGTTTCGATCCCCAATTCCAACCCCGTACAATTTGGTTGGTAATTAGGAATAGTAATTCCCAGGGAACTTTGATAAATAGGACTGTGATAAATACCATACATTCTACGGGTGTTCTGCTATTTGATGCATGTAAGGCGATTTCTGGTAGTAGAAAACCTTGGAATGTATGTGGTAAAAGATCTACTGATCCTGATTGCCCAAATAGAGATAATAGAGATTATAATTTTTGTCCCTATTGGTCTTGTGTAGGGTGGGCAACCTGGGGAAAAACAGTGGATCAAGATATGATTATCCAAAGGTTGCCTACCACACCATACTGTAAATCTATGGAATGTAATCCGGTCCATATGACCATCTCTAATCCCCAGCATTTTATTGACAAATTTGGAAATATTTTTGGGTTCCAAATACATGGCACAGGAGTAGATCCAGGAACCATAATATATGTAGGTCTTGAAATTGAGACAGTGGCAACTCAAACTCATCAGGTTTTCCATTCCTTTTATGAGGAGATGAGTGTTGAGGATAACATTTCCCATAATGTTAAGAACCTATTTATTGATTTGGCTGAGAGTATTACGGGTAGTCTTAATGTAACTAATTGCTATGTATGTGGAGGTACTAACATGAGAGACCAGTGGCCATGGGAAGCAAAGGAGGCATGGTACCCTGGTTCTGAGACAGATGAACAACAGATACTTTCTCAGTCTGATCATCAACTGAATACTAGAGGTAAATCGGAATGGCGGTTAAAAACCTCCATTATAGGTCATGTTTGTATAGCCAGGAAAGGGACAATGTATAACACGTCTGTAGGTGAGCTAACTTGCTTGGGACAAAAAGCCTATAATGTTAATATTAAAGATACTACTTGGTGGTCAGCTTCAAATGTCTTGGAACCTACGAATCCATTTGCCAATTACACTAATTTGAAAGAGGTATGGTTTGATTTATCTGCTACATCCAATTGGAGAGCCCCAGCAAAATTGTACTGGATTTGTGGTAAGAAGGCATATTCTGAGTTACCACAAGACTGGGAAGGGGCATGTGTACTAGGTATGCTCAAACCATCCTTCTTCTTGTTGCCAATTGAAACAGGAGAGACCTTGGAGTTAAGGTTTATGATGTGAATTATAAAAAGAAGCGAGCATCTTTGAATATAGGTAGCTGGGAAGATGATGAGTGGCCTCCCCAACGTATTATTAATTATTATGGACTGGCTACTTGGGCAGAAGATGGCACTTATGGATATAGAACCCCAATATATATGCTTAATCGTATTATAAGACTACAGGCGGTGGTTGAGATTATCACCAATGAGACAGCACAGGCGCTCAATCTCCTAGCTAAACATAATACCCGAATGAGATCAGCCATCTATCAAAATAGATTAGCTCTGGACTATTTATTAGCAGTAGAGAGAGGTGTATGTGGGAAGTTTAATCTAAGTAACTGTTGTCTGCACAAAGATGATGAAGGGCAGGCAGTGGCTGAACTTACCAGTCACATGGTTAAACTTGCGCATGTACCTACTCAGGTCTGGAGTGGGTATAACCCAAGTAGTTGGTTTGGAAGTTGGTATGAGCAGCTTGGAGGGATTAAGGCATTAGTAGGAGGAGTAGTATTTATTATATTCATGTGTTTCTCTCTGCCCTGCCTAATTCCATTAGTGGTCAGGTCCATACGAAGTGTTGTAGGCAGCACTATTGAGAAGAAGACAGCTGCCCATGTAATGGCTGTCTGTAAATATGAACCTTTAGCCCAGAGAGAGCATATTCAGGATGGAGAATGATAAGAGTATGCTAGGGATGCTTACGAGGTCTGTTCTGGCTCATGGCTACTTGAGAGGTGTTGGCAAACTATGATTGGTGATGCATCTGGAATTATTTTAAATCACAAGCATCAAAGGGGGGAATGTGATGGAATTCCAGTAAAATAAAAGTTTAGCAGGCCAAGATTGCCACAAGGCATATGTAGGTACATGTGTTTGTAGTATCAGTTACACGTAGCTAAGATACTGTCATCAATGTACTGAGCATGTGCAGGAATGCAGGAACTGGAATTACGCGTCCCTCTCCTTTGTTTCAGATGAGCCACGTGGTTAGACCAGATGGATGAGTTTAGACTCTGTTCATTGATTAGGTTAAGAGTATGTGTGGGCGTAGCTAATTATGGGAGGAGCTACAGTGCTATATAAGGAATGTACTCTGTGTTCAGTGCTCAGAATTTTGGAACAGGAGTTCATCTGAGACCTGATCGGTAATGTGAATAAAGGCCTCTTACTTCCTGAATACCTGTGTCCATCTCTCTGTGTTCAGCTTCTGCACGCTTACACGGTTACATAGGTTCTCCTGGGATAGTTGTCAGTCCAGGCTCCAGGGTATCATTGAAGACGCTTGAAAATACCGACCAGTTTCGTCAGCAAGACTTTCTCAAGGTAAAGCAGGTGCAGACTGTCTGAAAAACCCAGCTTTTAAACCCCACCAATGATGTTCAAGATAGATCTCACATGTTTCCTGCTTATTATCATCCAAAAAGATGGCCGACCAGGATCATGTCAGTGACAAAAATAATCTCCATTGGAGTAAAGTGCCCAAGAAACATTCCTGGTAACTTTGCCAACATTCCCTTCCAGGTGACCATCTTATGCTCGGATGTAAGATCAGACAAACCATAAAACATATCTTGCAAAGAACACCAAAATGATGATTGATTATGGTCACCATCGCAACCTAAAAGTCGCGCATGCGCACGGACTTAGTATTCAAACCAAGTCCATTTTTCTGGATCATACCTTAGATAAATACCATCAGGGACAGAAAACATATTTGTTTGACAAATCATTTAATATGAACTCCATGAGGACATCCACAATAATTCTAATAATAATGAAATACAACAATATGTCTGTAATGTGAAAACGCTTTACAATCTACAATAGCAGTGCAAATACAAATATATGTAATATACATAATCTCAAAGACATATGTATTCATATGCATTATTGTATTGATC